AGAGTGTGTGTGTGTGTTGTTGTGTGATGATCAATGTGATTGTGTGTTGTGTGTGTGTGTGTGTGTGTGTGTGTGTGTGTGTGTGGAGAACAGGTGACATCTGTCACCTGGGGAACGTGGACATTCAACACAGGCTCATGTGAGCACTTTGGATGTTTTTCCAGGTGTCTGTGGAGACTCACTCTTGACAGTGGCAGTCCTGGTGCAGTTGTAGAGAATAGCCAGCTCTCCAAACACCTTTCCTGGCCCCATGGTGCAGAGCTTCAGGCTCTCCTTTCGCACCTCCACCTTCCCATCTGAAACATGCACAGAAACACAGGTGCACTATTAGGCATTATGCTATACAAATTGCACATTTATTTCTCTACCTGATCACTCAAGTGTGAGTCTACATTCAATATGTGCAGCAAACAAAGTTTCAGTGATGGAATGGAGTTGATGATAGGTATCTGAGGGCTCGTGCTTCATTTTTGGAGGTACCCAGCAAGACTTCTCTTGACTCACTGGGCCAGAAAAAAATAAGATTATTTTGCAATGTGGATTTTTCCAAGGGCTACTGGCCTCCTACCAAGGCAATGCAGCAGCACCAACATGAGAAAAATCTACTTAAAGTTATCACTCCGTAACTCACAGACATGGTATGGTTTGCCTTAAGATAAGGACCGTTAAATCAATATACTGCATTTGAAAAAGTGTGAACGTTACCAGGACTGAGGCATTCACAAAGAATGTTCTGAAGTATTATTATTACAGGATGTATGGCCGATATGTTTCTAAAGTAAACAGAATTCTGCTTTGAAAAGGCATTACTTACCATTTCTGGAATAAGAAGAATAATAATTAAGGAATAACTAACTTCTTTTCACCCATTAAACTAATATAATCCAATACAGTGGGCTTTTGCCAAACAAAACAGAGGCCAAAAAAACTAAATTCCCCATTAAAAGTGGATTATGCTGCTGCAGAGATAAACGGAAACATCTGTATGAACCTATGCAGAGAAGGGATTATGGGTAACTTTAGGAGCCACCCGCACCAAATCCCAAATCTCAAAAGCTCATAGTGCCGACCTGTTATTTAAGCAAACAGACTGGTTGATCTAACATCCTGTCGGGAAGTTTTCTCAATTTTTTCTTTCGAAGCTTGAGCGCACATTTCATCTAGTAGACTGTGATCTTCTAGCAGAGCACAGGAAACTAAATTCCTCTCAAAGGCACTTCACATTTCTCCACATTGATAAATCATATTGCTTCCATTATTACAGATATAGTAGTTTATTTACACTGTCGCTGAGATTAAATTGTTTGTTTTTCTGATTTTTCTATAATCTCTTCATATTTTGTTTTGTTTGAACAGAAAACTGCTTTCCTAGTATGTCTGTCTTTTAATGTAAAGTGTAAAAGAAACACGTACATGAATGTGTTTGTACAGCACCTGTGTATATATTTGTTTATGTGCAGCCCTGAGAAGCATAATCCCATTTTAAAGCAAGTTACTCCATATTATTCTTTTTTAATTGTGTATGAGGCTCTTTACCACTGTGGGGGTTGTTTACCACTGCACTGTGTTCAGACAAGCCTCGTATAGGATGTATGCTTTCCTGGAATCTCAGCTATCCAGCGGGAGCATAACTATGATTCACAGAGAGCAAAGACCCAAGAAAACAGTTAAAGTCAGCTCTAGGCAACTGATAAAATATGGCACGATGATAAGAGCAGGCGAGTCATCCACAGAGGAAACAGTTTGACACGATATCTTGTTAGAGAGGGCTGTAAACCCCTCTGACAAAAAGCCTCACAAGAACTCGTCATGTTTCAGGACTTCACTTATCATAGTTTTTTGCACCTTTCAGTAACTATGGTGCACCTCTTCAACCATGGTAAACAACAAATTATTCACATTAACAGCCAGCATGAGGCTGTACACAGAAAGAAAATTCTCAGCTCTTAAAGTATGCACCATCTTGCAATCTTCTTCTCTGCTGTTTTCATTTCTCGTGTTTAATGTCCTTTCTTTCATGCTAGAGCTTTCCTGTTTCTGAAGAAACAGCTGGAGATCAAAAAACTAACTTAAATGTCTTGCCACCAAAGGTGGCATTTACTTTTTGAGAAGTGCTTTGATCTGGCTGTGCTTCTTTCATTATCATCATCTTAAGTATTCATAAAGCGTTTCTTCGATTGATTGTGAACTAAAGCACAATACTTTTCTGTTAAATCTCTCTTCCAGATGTTTCTTTCAAATCTAGTAACAGGTACGATGCTTTAGGTAAAGATAACTGCCTGATCGAATGGATGCTTATTTTAAACTTAAAACATAAAGCAATGTTGTGAAGATAACATTCTTTTGAAAAGATATTAAAATGTTCAGTTGAAGTAAAAATGACCACAATTCTTGTCTTGATTATGGCAGCACGGTTTTGGTACTGGTAACAAAAAAAAACATACAAACACTCATTGTAAGTTGCAGTTTCTTAAATTACTCCTTCTATTTTCTACTTCTTTTTAAATAAAATGATGTTTGTTGACCTTAAAAGCATAAAATAGCTCTGTTGCTGTACACCTCAGGATTTTTCCCAGGAAAGAGGGAACGCCTCATGATTCAAGAGCAACTGTAAAATATTTCATTTGCTGAGTACAGCTGAAATAATTTTTGCAGTGCCAGCCCTGCCTCACAGTGTCTATATATAAAGACTATAATTAGTGAGCTCAATTCACTATAAGATTTAAGGCTCGATAACTGCCATTGAGAATCGATTGAGGCCAAAGAATATGTGCCAGAACTAATCGGTAAACTGTGAGGGTTGTTGAGATGATGATGTGACTTGCAACCTCTCAGAACTCCTGAGTCCTTATTACGAGCTATTACACCTGGGTGTCACAGATACAGAATGAATAATGGCTAGTTAAGAACAAAACTGCCAGTGGTTTCACAGCAGCAGTTATGTTTGTTTTCCAGTTTGAAAATAGTAAGCAAATACAAAGTTTGACTGTTGTTTGCAGACTTTGATCCATAGTTTCAGGAGGAAGAAACTATGTGGTGGAGTGCAAGGGATGTATAGATATAAATTTCATCTACAGTAGGATTCTCTCTTCTTTCCTTTCCTTAGTATACAGAATTGGGGGTCTTTCTGCCTCCAAGTTATCATTCCTATGTTGACACAGAGGGATCACACCATCACTGTATGAATGGATGTGTGGAACACAGCGATAGCATTGTTACTCAGTCATGACGAAACACTACCCATCATCAGTCCACACTCCAGTTAAGTGTGTTGCGAGACCCCCACTGAGCTGAATGTCAAGGTTTATTGCCTCTGCCTTCTCATATGACAAAGCTCCAGCAATGAAGGATGCACAGTGAGTGAGTGAGTGGTCTATCAGACTGGCAATCTGAATAGTCAGCCTAATAGACTAAGGAGAAGAGACTGAGGAAGGACAGGACAGATGGTCGTCCACGCACATTTGAGAACTATTGTGTTCTAAGAGTGTGTCAGGATGAAAAATGTGTGTTTATGTCAGGCAGGAAATGGGAAATAGCTAGAAATGTGTGTTTGGGTGGAATAATAAATAGACAAAAGGTGAGATGAGATAAGGTCTGGTGTCTAAAAGTGTCCACATAAATGCAGTTCAAGTTAATATAAATGAATGTAGGTCAGTGTCTAACTGCGTGCTCCAGCTGGCACTAAAGAACACACTATCATAATTCAGTAAAATCACTACTGACCTGGTAAATAATTGCATACTGCGAGCTTCCTGATCTTTTGCTGTTTGTGGTGAAAATCTGTGTGGCCCAGGTTATGAATGAATGCATGAAAGGCACAGGGTCTGTTGGGCCTGTAGTTGAGGGCAAGGAGGTATGAGTTGGGGAAACAGGGTTGACTATGGTGGCGGTGAGGTTGCACGCCCCTTGCTGACCCCTTTCATGTCCCATGATACCCTACCACTGAACAGCCAACCTGACAGAACTCCCAGCTCCCGTTGCTATGGCAACAAGTGCTCACAGGGAGATGAGCCAACTCTTTTCCCCTTCCCACTGGCGACAGAGTGTCTGTCTTTTTCTTTTGTATATTCTTTTGCCTGCCACCAGCCCACCGGCCCATACTTCCCGCCACAGTCTTTATTAGTATACGTCAGTGCTTTGCTTTGCTGGTGATGTGGCTGCTCAATAAAATCTCTGCATGGAACAAATGATGTAATTGTCTACATGGGCAGAGGTATGTTTGCACTCTAACAGGGTCACTGGCACTATCTCTGAGGCTGGTTGTCTTTGTTTTAATGTGTGTCTCTACACAAGAATGTACCAGGAAATTCAGCTGCCACATTGGCTCCAATGGAAATCATGCAACTACCTGATGAGTGTGCATGAGCCTTCAGCTTCAAATTAACCAGTTTAATTTGATGTGTGTGTGGAACCTTTCTCCTCAGTGTAATTTCAATTTACATTGGATGGTCTCCTAAGTTATATGCATGAGTAATTACATCGTGGCAGAATTTAGATGATGAACCTACTAATGTGGACTCATCCGTAAAACTGTGTACAAAATCCCCCACCATCCTTAGTCTGCAAAGCTAACTCAGAATATAATGACATTATTGCAAACTGTGAAAATGAAGAGATTACTGGAGTCTGTCACCTATTAAGAAAACTCACAGAAACAATTAAGAGTCATTATGTGCAACTACTCATTTAGAGAAAATG